TGTTTTTTTTTTAACGTATTTTAACGTTCAAAAACGACATTATTACGTCATTATTTTGCACCAACCCAAATCTCTTTTCCAACCTTGTTTTTTCACCATTTAAACCTTCTTTTCTTCTTATTTATTCTTCTTCTTCTGTTTTTTGTTTTTTTTCTTAAACGTTGGTATCATGGAAATCCATTTTTTTCAAATTTTTTAGACTTTTTAAATTTTGCCTTTTTGGTAATCTCCTAAATTAAAAATGTTCTGCTAACCATTTACACAATCTTCTTTTTTCTTTTTTTTGATTTTCTGTGTATTATCCTTTTTAGGATGTGGGCGATATACTATAAATTTCTTCAGATTTTTTTCACCATTGTAGCTTTCAAATTTTTGAAATTTGTTGGCAAAATCTATCTGGATCCGCCATCCATTTAAAATTTCATGCTTAAAATGGTTTCTTTATTAATTTTATCCCTTCAGGAAATCGATTTTTTTCATCTTTTCCTCAATGTCCTGTCCTTTTTTTTTTTATTATTTTTTTTCTTCTTCTCATATTTTTTCCAAAACTTTTAATAATTGAGCTATTTAGATGTATTTCGCCAGGTTGTTTGAATGCGTTGGCTTCCTCTGCCTGAGAAACCTACATTGAATTTAATAAAAAATTTATATTTTTTTGACTTAGAAATTTTAATGCAAATATCAATCGTCATCATCTTATCTTGGATCTATATGTTTTTATTGTCCTTTCGATCCATTATTTTCTTAAATAAATTGGTTTCGTTCTCCTCAATGGTCCCCTTTTAATCTCTTTTAGGGTTCATTATGCCTTGCTTATGAAAATGAAATAAATTTAAAAGAAGTAATTAATTTTTATTTAACCATTCTGAGGTCCAAGTTAGGGAATACTACTGTACTGTACTGATGCGGCATTCACCCTGGGCGGATTGAGCCGGCTTCTTCCTGTTATGAGAAGAAGATTCTTGGGAATTACAAAGTAGGGTACCCAGGCCTACTCGGATAACGTTCTTGCTTGCCGCGGGGTTCCCACAGACGCAGAGACAGGAACGACCAGAAGCCGCCGGTTACCGATGCAGACGCTCCTTGGATTTTCACCAGAGCCCTTGTTAGCCGGCGTGTGTGTCAGACCTGTCCGCCTTGGGTGGCCCTACCAGGAACGAAGTTCCGGGCGGCATAAAAAGAAACACTACCGTTTACACCCCCCACCGACTGTGAGGTAAGGGTTGGACTTTGGGGGCTTACAGTACCAGGTGTTCCCAAGCGGTCCCCATCTAAGTACTGACCTGGCTCTACGATGCTTAACTTCGGTGATCGAACGAGAACCGGTGTTTCAAAAATTTGATTTGACCGTAAGTTTTCAAAAGGAATCTGAAGTCTTTTAAAATTAAAAAAAATGAAATAAATGAATAAAAAAAAAAAAAAAAAAAAAACTTTAATATATACAAACATATTATGAAAAATATTTTGCAAATTGTGATTTCAAAATTGACGGCATTAAACCAAATTCAGTATATAAACTTTAGACAGGTGGACTGTCAAAAATTAATTAAAATATTAAAATATATTTTCATGAATGACATAATTTCTATTGCACTTATTTATTATCTTATTTATACTAAAATTAAAATTTTGTTTCCTTTAAAATGCATCAATCTAATTCTAATTTCTCTCTCTCAAAAATTCTATGGAAAAATTTAACCCTCCCCCATTTTTATCCGATTTGTTTAACGTTATTTAAAAAATAGCTAACGTCATCGTCTGCGTTAGGCATGTCGCAGACGTTCCACAAATTAAAACAAAGACGTCGACTCGGTAAAAAAACATTTTATAATTTGGAATTTCAAATCAAAATTATGGGGAGAACTAGTAAAATTTTTTATAATAAAACAAAATGTAATTGAGAATGCTGAATTTTTTTAAATTATATTTTAAATATTCTTTTTATTTGTGTCTTCAATGAAAATAAGATTTTAAATCGCGACAAACTTTGATAATGAAAAAATATGAAAGTTTAAAAAAAAATTTTTTTATAAAATTAAATTAATATGGAAAAATCCAAATTAAAAAAATAAAAAAAAAAAAAAAAATTTTATTTTAAATATATTTTAAGAAAAGAAATAAAAATTTTAAAAAAACAAAGAAAAAAAAAATAAAAAAGGAAAAAGAATAAAAA